ATGAAACTTAAGAAAGTCGCCAATTTGAGCAAGCCAACTTACCCATGAGTATTTCCCTAACACATGCACATATAGTTTGGCAACTCAGTGTAAATTAACAATTTGACTGGAAATTAATTACTTATCAACCTTTTGCGTACACAGGGTAGACACCACTTTAACAAAGGTTTTTTCTGGCATTTTCAAAATACTTTTGAACCAAAACCTCTTCTTTTTAGCAATTAGTTATTGTTCCTTTACCCACATGGCATCAAAAAACTGGTGAAATTCCGTTCCTATGGTTAAAGACAGTGTCATCGAGACCCGGAGTGTAGCTGAATGTCTGGGTAGAGGGTGAGGGGTGCTCTACTCGCGACTCGCTCTAAAGAATGTTTTTCCTTATGGAAATAATTCATTTCCAGTCCAAAGGACCACTAATTTGATGTCCTTCATTGTCTTGAGGGGTTGATATCTCTGATCACGTGTCTGATGAGCCATAATTGAGGAAAATGTGAAATGAGGCAAGGATTAATTGTTAATTGCCGGGTTGCTAAAAGTGTATGAATGGAACTGAAGAGAAAGAAGAAAAAGAAAATCTTGTTCTGCTAAAAAGATGGATCCCAACAAATTATACAGGTCACGTCACCGTTTCCTTTGTAAATTTAGTTGTTAGTGTTAATGAAATTAGTTTTTTTTTTTTCGCGATTGAAACAATACCATTATTGCTTTCAACTCCTTGTAAACTAGACAAAGTCTAATTTTTTCGCAATAAATAGAAAACAGAGAGATTCTCGAACTGAAGGGTTGAATCTGCCTTTGTTCTAAGGCGCCTAAAAGAACGTGCGAAAGTTTTAGGTTAAAAAAAACAACAACAACGACAACAAGGGACTAGGGTTGGTTGCTCCTCTTGAGATGTGATGTCATAAGTAGTTCAATTTTTATGTTCTACAAAAATGCAAGATGGTTAGATTTCTATATTATTTCTTTTCTTTTCTTTCTTTCCTTTTAATTTTGTGGAAACCAAGATCGCTATCAGAATTCCATTGTCTCTACTGTGATAGATACCGTAAAATTCCGGAAAGAAGCCCCTCCAAATATAAGCCCCCCAAACCGGTAATGCAAAAGCCCTCCATTAAATTGCCCCTCCAAATATAAGCCCCCCCGGGCTTGTACTGAGAAAACTGCCCTCAAATACAAAGTAAAACAAAGCAAAAACGGTAAATTTACTTTCAACTATAAGGCTAGCCAATCGATTTTGAAAGGCAAATTTCCCTCAGTAGATAAGCCCCTCTGAATATAAGCCCCTGCAAAAATAAGCCCTCGAAAAGGGCCTTTGAAAAATATAAGCCCTGGGGCTTCATTGTATCAGAATAACGCGAAAAATGTTCAAACCCGTGCACATACCGAAGGCCAGTGTTTTTACTCCACTTTATATTGGGGCTTGATTAAACAGGCATAATATAACATTTTATCGACTTCCTATAATAAAAGATTAAATTAACTGCAAAAAAACAGTGGACGAGGATCCCGCTAGTTGTAAACGTTGGACCTCTAGAAAAGAGATTTAATCAGCCAAAACATAAAGAACCAAAAACGAGAAGTCCAAAAGACTATTGCAAAGCTGATTCAGAACAACGTGTATTGTTTTTCATAATATTTCGGCTGGCCATACCAGCCTTCTTCAGGTTTACAGATGTTACTGAACTTATGTAGGAATCACAATATTACATAGATGGAGAATGTCGCAATAAAAATTGTTTAAAAGGGAGAGGCGGAAATGACGTACAACGTACAGAAAAACTGGAAAGGAAAAATACTAAGGATATGGATTACACTAATTCGTCACGGCGGTTTAGGCCATGAGGTTCAAGATTTGGTCAGAAACAGTGGTGGGTTTAGATTTTTAAAATGTTAGTTTTGTGGACTGTACGTTTGTGGCCAGGAAATGGAGTATTGCCTTAAGCAGACATTGATACTAAAAGCACATGAAATTTAACCTCGCGATCGGAAGACGATGCACTAGTGCAAACGTAAATTTTTATTTAACAATTGTTCATGCGTCAGCTTGCGTATGTCGAGATACTAAGCACGCGGGAAGTTTGGAGAGCACAATCGCGAAAGAGGCTAAAAAGAGTGCGAACTTTAGCCTCTTTAATGCTCTTCAAACTTCCCAAGTGCTCAATATCTCGACATACGCACAGCTTAAGCATGAACTAATTGTTTTTGCCCTCGCAGGGATTTCGCCCAGAAGGCGAAATCCCGAGGAGGCACACTAGTAACTCGCGCGTATATTAAGGAAAGTACTTACAGCTGAAATATACTTTCCTACAGTCAATATAGAAAAAATCTCGATTTGCTTGAGCAGGGGCCGCGAGGAATCGGTAGGTAATGATGACGTTTCTATTGTATGTGCCCGCAAGTACGAAATGGTTAGGATGACGTAAAACACAAAAAGATTCCGAAGGAACAGCGTACAATAGGTAGATGTTGTGACATTAATTCGATACTCTTTTGCGTTACGTGTTATTAGTGACATTCTGTGGAGCAGTTGTTATGAAGGTTATGGACCAAAAGACACTCGTTAAGCGCAGATGAAGTTATAAGGAGCGTCGAACAGTGTTTATTTTAAAGCTAAGTGAGTTTGCCAGACACGAGTTCACAAATCTTTGATTGGAAACCTTCAGCTGAACCTTGCCAGACACTCTTTCTCTCTCTCTTTGACCTTTAAACACTAAGTGAGTTTGCTAGAAACGAGTTCACAAATCTTTGATTGGAAACCTTCAGCTGAACCTTGCCAGACAATCTTTCTCTCTCTTTGACCGGAATAAGACTCGGCCCAAAACAAGCAAGACGAGTGAATGATTCAACGGCTAGCTCACTATAGCAAGAACGAAGGACTCTTACAGAAATTCGCCAACCACAGGAGCCCATAACCCGGGCCCATAACCATACATAACCGACCATCAAATTCTGTGCTGACTTATTCCCTGCTCACAAATGTCCTTCGGCTATAAAGTTTAAAATAAGACTAGAATGCGCGAGCGTGAATTGATCAAACGTCCTTTTAATTTCTATCCGGCAAATAAAATGAACTAAATGTAAAAAGAAAAATAGAAATAGCGAAAAACTAAACTTCTAATTAAATCTTTTCTCATGGTTTAGAATAAACTATTCTCGAAACTGAGAATTTTTTTATCAAAGCTGTGTAAATCGAACCGAAACTGTGCATGGAACCTTGCGTTTATTTCCTGTATTTATCTCACCTATTGTATGGGATATGTGTGAACATCTTCATTATGAATCGGTATATTTCAAAGAGCTACACGAGGAGCAAGAATACTATAGACAGAGCGGGGGCAGCTGTAGTGTTAACTATTACTAGTATAACATTATCGAAGCGATCTATGTAGCAGTTAACTTAAATTTTTATTATTGTAGCGCGCGCCCAAAGCAGTACGCGTCAATCTTACCGACTATATTTTTTTACCTCACAGTAATGCTTTTGTCTTGAAACTGAGAGAAAGTTTACTCAAGTCGCTTAAGATAACACTCAAAAAGATTGTAAAATCCATATTAAGGTGCCGGAAGACTATTAATTCATCGAAAAATTATTTTTGAGAGAAATAACTTTGCAAAGAAATGATTTGCACTTGTCATAGCCCGCACAGCTCGCGCAGATGACAGCAACAAGAACACTCACCTCTTTTCGCTACTATCGTTTAACAAATTCAAACCTTTCTCTTAAATTTACGTTATAAAACACATGATTAACGCTCCATCGTGTACTGTTGAGTTATGGATGCACTTGGGAGACGTCTCGGAAGGATTGCTAACCTCACAAGAACTCGAACTTTTCTAGTTTATTGACGTCATCAGCGTGCTCAATGGGAATAGGAAGCACGCTTGCGCTATTGATTTTGATTAGGCGATTATTCTAACTATGTTATAACGGTAGTTAACCTGGTGATGTGATGACGTCATCAGTTAAACAACTGTAAATGCACGAGCTCAGTATGTTCAAAACATGTTCTGAGCAAAGGTGAGGGCTGTTCGAATCGTTGTTCATCAAAAAATGAAAATGGCTAAATTTTATCTCCATTTTTTGTAGAATCCAAGATGTCTATCATAGTTCGATTGTCTTTTCTTTTATAGATCATAGAACGAACGTGAAAAAATGTGCAAAACCGTGCACATACCGTAGGCAAGTGTTTTTACTCCACTTGATATCGCGGCTTATCAAACCGGGCTAATATTGACATTTTACAGACTTCCTTGTATAACAACGTAACTGCCCAGAGTGGAAACAAGCTAAATGGTGTGTTTGCTGTTTGATTTTGATTCCTCTTTGCTGACTGGAAATAGCTGAATGTAATTTAGAGAACAAAATGGAAATCAATGTTTGGCTTGATGTTCTTTCTTCCTAATTTACGTACTGAAGGACATATCGTACAGGAAAATTAGTGGCAAACGTTTTCCGGATATTTGTATCGTCATGTCCGAGTCATCCCTCAAGCTTCTTTGATTAATGACAACTGAAACTGACTCTGAAACATCCTGAGCAAGTGTCATTGATTCCGCAACACAATTCAGTATTGTCTGTCAATGGTCGGTCATAACTTAAACACTATTTCTTCCCATATAAAATACCACACTGTCAGTCCGTGTCCCGATGCGATGCTGTGAGGACTGTTGAAGATAAATAACAAGGTTTCAAAAGGCAAACAAAGGTAGGCAAGACAAACGTTCCATTCACTTATATATTAGCAAAACTTCCATTGCCTTAAAGAAAATTTAAATTCACTCTGGGTTTAATTAGAAATTGCTGATTGTAAATAGTTTATTTTCTGTTAGATTAGTTAAAGTTACACTGGTAAGTCAACAGGGAGCTTAAGCGGGACGACAACGACCGCAACGACGACCTCAAAAAAACAATAGCACGACTACGACGTGAAACCTCCTAACTTGCCGTTTTACGGAGGACGTGGACATACGACGACGAATTCTCCTTCCTCTTTTTGAACCTGAATAAAATCCTTAAGAATTCAACTCCAGGAAAAGTCGCCTGCATTTGACATATCGAGCGGGTCCAAATAGACGCGATTAAGTTTGAAAGAACGCAAATTTATTTTTTCACAGACGTTTTCACTGTTGTCGTCGTTGTCCTCGCTTAATGTTCCTAAATGTACATTGAAAACCCACTTTGTGAGTAGTTGAATGCGGTGGTATTTTACTAAGGCTGGGTTTACCGTTCACACTACACTGAATAGCTTTTGCAACGCCACGAAAATAAAACTGGATAGGTCGAGGATAGGGCTTTTGTTCACAGACAAGGAAGGTGACTTTGGTGCGATTTTTGTGACTGAGCGAAACTGCGCTACGCCAATTTCTAAAGTAAAGAGTCGCATAGATGTTCATACCGTAATTCCGTGCAAAAGTGTCTGTCCAATCACTACACAATTCTGCAGCGTTGTTCGTAAATCATTGAGCACGGTGACACGGGGGTTACTCCAGAGGGGTGTCAGTGACTCTCACAACCAAATAAGTGCGATGTTAATATATTTTATTTCTGAGTGACTTACTCTTTCACTTCACAATTCTTCAACTTCCTTAGCAATGTCTTTCCTCAAATTAACCCTCTTCTTGGTAGTTCTCTTTCTTCCTCTTTTTCTATAACTGCTTACTCCTTCTTCTAAAAGCTTACTTTTCAACTGCTCTCTATTTATTTGTTTGGTTGTCCATAATATGTTCATGTTAATAACAATGCGTAGGATACATTTACGTTCTAATTAGCATACGATTAATTCGTAACCTAAAATTTCTTTAAAAAGCTTTTCTTCAGTTCTGGAGCAGGATAACTACTAAGGAAAACTAACTAAGTAAAGTTTAGTAAAAGAAAGTGTCCATTAAAAGATAAGTATTTTCCGAGGGACATCAAGTCAGGAGACATGATGTCCCACTCTCAAAAACCTTATTTACTCACGAACACAGGAAATGATAAAGTCTTAACTTAGTTACAGTCCTAAAGTCATGGAATGCAGAAAGAGTGATTAAGAGGTACATGGGGGTGTAGATGGGAGTTTTCTTTGGCTAGTAACCAACTAAAGAATGACGCACATGTTCTGATTCCGTGCGTGATGCAGGGAAGCACACTTTTTAATATTTATTCTTCTAAATAAAGAGTTCATTAGCAAATGTGTTTTATATCTTATTTCAAACTTATTAATGAACAGCTAAATTTTTCCAGGACCTACAAAGCTTCCTACAACGATATATGTCAATATTCATTTCAACTTGATCAGATAAAATTTAATTGTCAGCAATCAATCAAGATCATTTTTCATACTTCACCTTTTTATATTTTAAATGTTGTTCATTAGTATTATGTAAAGGATACATTTGGCTAAATCGAGTTAAATTCAGGTTTCGCTTTAAAAATCATTGGAAAGATATATATGACTTCCATTTGCTTATAATATTTTTCAGGGAGATTGGTCCCGTGACAACGGTTTCAGCGTTTTCCCAGTTCTTTCAGTGTTCTTTCCATCGAGCACTGTTGTTTGGAGGTTTTATAACTGACCTCCTTGTGAATAGCAAGGTTTCAGAAGGCAATAAGAAGTGGGGCGACATAATATTTGTCTCAGTGCAGACAGGGATGCTAGAAGTAAGGTTTACATAGAATTTGATAATCAGTGGAACTTTTTTTAATAGCTAATTTTCATGTCATTTATACATGGTTTAATGATCTTTAATCTGAAGGGAGGCTCTTGATAAAGTAAGGACCGCCGTATTTAAATTACAATACCGTAGAAAGCCGGATTTTGTGAAATATATCTGTGGTTTGATATGGGACGAATTCTACAAAGATATTGTTTCATCTTTTCAAATGACTTTGGATTACATATTTAACATTTAAAGTATATGTTCAACAAACGCGACTAATATTGCTGCTTTTACTTCCGTCTTAAAATTGCCTAGAAGTTGAAGCTTACTTCCAGCCTGGTTATAATTTCGTTAAATTCATGACTAGAAACAGGGAGTGGCCTGGTTAGTCAATTGCAAGTGGTTTAATATTTCTTGTTTCTTAAGCCAAAGGATGAATGCCGCGAGTGTAGTCTTAATGTTCTTTGTCGTTCACAAGACACTGAATTTAGTATTGCTTACAGTTTTCCCATTATTTTATTCTTGTGTCATTTTTGACTTCATGACTGGTTAACTTAAAACCAGGTTTTGTTATCAGCTCTCAGAGCACTTGAGAATTAATGTCAGCTCATGTCGTATGCGTGATCTGTAGATACAGAAATTGATCGGCAACAATTAGGACTACAACCCTGGTCAAAACATCTTGAGACATGAGGAAATTAGGTGCTAATTCGCACGCTTCTAATTAAACTGGTATTTTCCATCTTACACATGATCGGAAATGTTGTTGTAAGAGCCTATTTCTGTCGTCTCCTCCCCCCTCCCCTCTTCCCTCAGCAATGTTGATTGTGTTCAAAAAGACTTAAATGTATGACGTCAACACTGCACCGAGGGGGAGAAGAGGGAAAGTGCGTCATTTTGACCAACTTTTGCGTTCGTGGCCCCAGCGTTTTTATCAGGGTTTTAGATGTAAAGTAGTTAACATACTTGGGCTTTTATTTGCTAATTTATGTAATTTACATTAAAAGATATTGGTGAATCGAGCCGACAAGTTGTCATGTCAAAAGAGGAAATAGTTAGCATCAACCTGCTGGAGGCGGCCATCGCCCAAAGAAAGTTCTTAAAGCTTGTAGATGAACATCCATGCCTGTATGTTGGCCCACATGTTCAAAACGCAGTCAGAAGGTATGACTGGAGTGTACTTTTTGAACCTTATTAAAACCGCCTGGTGAAGCCAGGGACATGGGAGAATATTTTTATTCTCCTTTTCATCTTGTCCAGCCTTAAAAACTCTCTAAATATATTTTGAAGGCTGCCATTTGAAAAAAGGGTGGTGAAATTGTAATAACGACCAAAATATGAGAGGAGGCACGGTTTTACAGGGCGACTTTCGTTACCCCGGGTACAGGCGCTCCCCTCCTCTCAGAAAAAAAAACGGGTCTCTCTCCCCGGGGGCAGGCTACAGAGGCTAGGAATTTGATAAATATTAAAGACCAAATTCAGGGGTACCCAACGAGAATATAGTTCAAAGCACTTAAACATAGCATTGTTGAACGTATTTTAGTATTTAAACCGTAGATATAGGCATATTTTTATCCCCTAGTCTAGTGATGTGAAAATTATAGGGATCAAAACTTACCTTTTCAAAAATTTCAGCCAGAAAACTGAAGGCTCCCGAAAATTCTGGGTGACCTTTTCAGTGTAAAAATCCGTTCAAAATGGGCAATAATACCATTTTTCAGAAGTTCGAAAATCCTAGGAGAGGCAGGCAAGCAAGACATTTACAACAAATGTTCCGAAAAATCTGGATCTTAAATCGTCTTCCGAACAGATATTTTCCAAGCATTGTCGTTGGGTGCCCCTGCAAATTCATATTTGGGACTAGAGAGGAGAGACTCCATCTTCCTACGTAATTTCTGGCTGCAAGCTATGGCAAAGAACCTAAACATAGACGAAGCAAAAATAATTCTTAGTAAGTGCACGTGACTTGCAAACAAAGCGAAAGGCAAGGATATGATTGCAGACTACATTGCACTGGTATGGATGGGGCTTCATGGGTCGTAAGGACTGCATCTTGGATCAGCCATCTGAAATAAATTTTTTTAAAAGTGGGATTAACTGAATGCATACATGTTAAATCAACTATATTTAAATTCAGGGCACCACCCCTTCTCTTATCACCTGCCTTGACAGGGTTATTATTAATTTTTTTTTTCAAGTAGTTTTTTACATTGGATGTTTCTATTTTGGGTTTAGATATGAAGTCTTCTGGCTTCCACTAATCGCTGAGTTCCCAGATGCAACAGTTGCTGCTCCTCTTGACATTGCTTGGGTTTGGCACGTGCATATGCTTTCACCTCTCGCTTATGAAAGGGATTCCAACGAGATTGTCTCAACATTGGTGGACCATAAAATCCTTGTAGGAGAAGAGCGTGAAGCTGGACTTCAAAAGGCGAAGCTCCTATGGTACCAACTGTACGGCAATGAGCCCTTTGAAGTTGACCTGTCAGCCCCTGCCAGTATCGTACCTCACGTGTCAAGAATCCAATATGATATCGTGGCTGGATGCAGTCGCCAGAGAGTCTTTTACTATCAGGTTTCCTTACCTCATTATGGGGACAGGAAGTTTCTTAAAGAAGCTGTTGAAAGATACAAACAGCATCTGCGGTTCGCTCAAAGTCATCCAGGTACGTTCCTGGTCCCGTGTTTTGACTCCGATCTCATATGGCATGCGCACCAAGCTCATCCGCTGGCTTACAGAACTGACAGTATGAAGTTCCTGGGGAAAGTTCTTGGTCACGATGATTCTGTTAACGATCGCCAGCCAGGCTCGAAACGTTCCACATCCGCACAAACAACAAAGCAGCTGTGGTCAGCTGCTAACATGGAATATGAAAGAAATGGAAGCTTGTATCGAGGTGAACCTCCATTAACCATTGAAGAACGTGGTAAGCACGTCGATTACTCTTCGATGTTGATAAATGAGTACTCAATAGATGTTCTGGAGATAGAGATTGGAATTTCTGAATCCAATTGGTATGAACTGAGAGTTGATGTAAGCAAAAAAGACAGTGGAAACGTCTTCATCGTGAAGAAATTTAAAGGACCTGCTGCCCATATTTTTCATCCTCCTCCTGATCGTCCTTCAACGTTCGTATGCCGAAAAGAAACCAACAATTTCTTTCAGGTATGATGGCATTCTAAACTTCTAGAGGTCTTAGTCGATCCACAAATCAATCAATCAGTCAATCAGTCATGGTTTATTTTTTATATTTTCCCTCAAAGTTTCTTTACAGGAGATATATTACTCCATAAAACATGAATAGGAATATATGAAATGACTCACGTAGACGGTGAATGAACGAGTGACCAAAGCAAATCGAGCCCTGACCCATGCGATTGACTGGATGCTAAGTTCTGTCCTATCCATTAAGCTGATCAAGCAAACGAGAGACCTAATCTATTTGTCTAATCACAAACTTATGATTGAAATAGGTCGATATCAGGTCGATCATGTGCCCATGTGGAATCCGGAATCTTGGAAATTGTTGCCTGTGGAATCCGGAACACGGCTGTGGGAATCAAAAATCCCACTAAAAATTAGAATCAGGAATCCTGGGCCTTGGAATCCGGAATACACGTGTGGGAATCAAGAATCCCACTAAAAATTGGAATCCAGAATCCTGGGCCTTGGAATCTGGAATACACCAGTAGGAATCCAGAATCCCACTAACAACTGTAATCCGGAATCCAAGTTCCACTGAAAAAGATCTGGAATCCAGCAATTGGATTCCGGAATCCACGGCGGGAAATCCAGAATCTGAGACTGTCTTCGATTCCCTTATATAGGGCGAATTGTGTGAATCAAACCAAGTTGAAAATGAGACCCATTTCCTGTTTCAGTGTTAGAAATACTCTGCACAGTGGCAGAGTAGCCTAAGTAGCTGCTACTATGTTATGGTGCCATTCTTGATTGGTTTCTGGTTAATGTAACTTGTCTTTGAAAAGAATCCTGTTAAATAACTCAGAAATGTGTACTTGTTTACGGCACAGGTTGAAATGTACCGGAAACGTCGACTTGGGTGCTGTTTTGTGGGAATGGCTGAGGAATCAGACCAACGTTGCCTTTTGAAATTGGAGCCGTTCATACAGAGACGTCTTGAGGCTCCACAGGTCATAACACAGAGGGAGTATTTCTCAAGTGAAAACTATGTTAAAATTACTGCTGTTGTCCATCCGCCTTCGCCTAGAGAGTATCGGTTTAGAATCAAACCGGAGGAAGGTCTAAGGGAAATGAGTGACGCTGCAGCCATTTTAAGCACTCCAATGTTATCTGTCTTCAAGACCTTATCTTTTACGCCATCGGTAGAATGCCAGCTGCAGAAGGTATTTGACTTCCATGATCGCCTGGCTTTTTCGTGTCGAGTAATGCACAAGGGGGGAATGGGACGAGGAAATCACCCAGTGTCTGTAGTAGTCATCAACAATGCTGGAGATATTGTAAGTACAGCACATCTTCTCGAAAGGAGTACTCTTCCAAGCTGGAAGCAAGTCATGAATGACCGGAAAGGATGTTGTACCCTAGAGGATAACGAAAGAGCTATGTTGATTCGAGGACGTAAAGATTGGGGGATCTGTATCGGTAGGTGGAAAAATCAATGTGCCATAAAATTCTTTTCTCTTATTGAGAAACAAGAATGGAAATCTGTTGTATCTAACCCCGAAGAATTTTCGATAGAGCTCAGCAATAAAATGCCCTTTCGTGTGGACCTTAGGAATGGTATCATTGTTATTCCTCCAGATGTTTCTTACATACCAGAAACAATTGCACTTGGGTTTGCTATTGCAATCCTCTTTGTCCTTTGTCAGCCAATTTTAAACGAAACACTTTATTATGACCCAAGTTGTCGTTGTAGCAATTACCCTACAAAGATAAAAATTCCGGGAAACTTGAGGTTCGCAGTGGCAGTCGGTTACGACGCCGACAAGTTTAAGAATCACATTATAAGAACCACTTGTGCAAGATGTTTGGAATCGCATAGGAGGAAAATGGAAAGGGAATGGGAGAGGAAAAGGGAAATGGAAAGGAAAAGGGAAAGGGAAAGGAAAACTTATTCTAGAACAATAGTTTCTACTTCAGTATTTATTGGTGGCGGTGGCTGTGGTGGCGGTGGCTGTGATGGCGGTGGATGTGGTGGCGGTGGCTGTGATGGCGGTGGATGTGATGGCGGTGGATGTGGTGGCGGTGGATGTGGTGGTTGCTAAAATGATCACGGAAATGCTCAAAATAGTGGGTAACGATGATGATAACACTGCTGGTGTTGTATTGCGATGATCATGATTGATGATCGATGGTGATGACGATGAGGATAATGCAGCCTAAATGAGATCAACCAACTAAAGAAGGCTAGCAACTGAAGGTGATAAAATGAACAAACAGGAACATTGATGAAACCTTTACAAAGCTACTCTTGCATGGAAATTAATGTCGTTAAAGTCCGTTTTAATATGAGGTATTCCTCGAGAACATTAAGTAATAAGAAGTTTATTAACCACAGCTTGCAACTTTTGAACACAAATTGCTTGTTCTTTCCAGGTTATGAGTGGACACATTTTATGATTAGGCAAAAAATATTTGAAATTCCGCCATTTTTTCAAACCCGGCCAGGGGATCTGGGCAAAAACGTTCACGCATGTTCATTACGTTTTTCCGCCCTGAAGGCTTGCGCCGCATTTCTGCGTTTACTAATTAACAGAAACTGGAAACTGCTTAATAATAAAAATTATTAATAAAGTTCTCTTTACAGATGGCCTATGTCACGTAATGTGGTTTTCAATAGGGCACTGCATAAAAAGCTAAAAACTACAGTACTAAAAATTACAAGATATTAAAATAGGTGAACTAAAAAAGCGTCACACTAAGCTAACGTATTGAGATTTAAAATCATTACCAGAAATCGGCGACATTTAGCTTCCGCGAAGTATTTGGCACGCGGTTTCAAATTATCAAGATGGCGGCATAAAGAAAGCAGTACGTAGAAAAAACAAGGACTGAAATGACACACTATCAAAGGATTTGAATCAATTTAATTTCTTTTTTGAGGTAGTCAATACAAGGGAGAATGAAAAAGGGGAAACTAGAGTCCGGGCTCCTGTTCGAATGACGATTTTAGAGAGAAGAAACAACTTCGTTTCATGCGTGACCAGGCAGATTAAAAATAATTTTCAAAAATCAGGGCCCACAGTACACTTAGCCAGCGATATTCTGTATAATAACCATAATAATAATCATATATGAAGCGCCTACCTGCAAAGACGGCGATCAAAACAAACTGGCGATAGAAACCCTACTTTTCACAAGGAATAATAAGCGCAATGGTGCGTTTTGTACCGCTTATATCGCAGAAATGGATGTATTTTTACTTCTTTTATCGCAAATTTTGCGGCCATTTGGGGAATGGATCAAGGCTGATTTTTATCACGTTTTAAAGTTTGAACATCGATCGATGATTAGAGAGGTCGGCACCAAGGATTCACATCAACGAAATGTTCTAAAATGTGGAGAGAAGTTAGGCACCTCTAAGCTTTTTTGAAAGAATTAGAGAGCTCAAGGAACTGTAATAGCCGTTCGTAAAATGTGTTGTTTGCGGCCCGTTGGCGAACTTTCGAGAGACCAAAACTACCGTAAATAATGATATGGTACGTACACTTTACATTTAGAGGTCGGCAAATGTCGTGTGTGCTACTTCAGATCTGAAATTTCCACTTCTTCAATTTTCTCCATACATTTCTCTATAACCATCGGCGGCCATTCTTATAGAGCGGAAGGTCTGGGTCGAGTCTGGGCGTCCGCCATTTTGTCTTAAATTTCTGGTAATGCTTTAAGTAATGAAATTTTAAAAGCATTTTAAGGCAGACATCTCATGTCTTCAGGAAGGGAATTCCAGTCTGTCAATACACTATTAAAGATCTGAGTAGAGCCCAGTTCGTGTTTGATCTAATAAATCTAATAGTTTCCTTGGAGCGGGTGTTATTATAGCTATGATAATCTGAGTCTCGAGTAATCATACTGTTTCTTTCACTGTCATTAGTAAAATTATGCATAAAGAACATCGTTGCATTAATCTTCTGTTTAGATTCATTCAGTTCAGATCTAAAAGTGCTTGAGTTGACGAAGAATGCGTCGCTCGATCCAGAACTAGCATGGCTGCTTTATTCTGAAGAACTTGGATAGAATCCATTAAAACTATGTTATTTTTGTAAACCCATACGATACTTGCATATTCAAGAATAGGAATGACCATTGTTGACACATAGATCCTTCTTGCATAAACTGGGAGAAGATGCTTGATTCGTTTTAAGACACCTAGTCTCGTTGCTATTTTACTTTGTAGTTGTTCAATGTGGTCATGCCAAGTAAGATGCCGGTCTATCAAGGGAAAAGCCGTGGGGACGAGGTTGGCCGGTCTATGATACTTGAATTTGGTAACCATCTCTAATTATATCAAGGTAGCGTCCATACCCTCTTACGTCTTCGTGTTAGTATTTCCTTTGTCCCTTTCATCTTATTCCGTAATTCTGATTGCGTCACTGACCTTTTTTTTTCCCGCCTAAACCATGCACCTTTGACAGTCCTAGAGATGAATAAAATAAACAACTAACTACTGCATTTTCCTCCATATTAATTTGTTAAAAATATCCTGTGGAAAAAGCTAAAAATGGCATTTCCGCCGAGACCATAAATTTAAGAATTTTCTGCGGGAGCATGTTCCCCGACTCTCCTTTTTTGGTGCTAAAACTTTTCTTCCCCGCGAGCGTACACCTTCAAAATCTTACGCTATGCCCTTGGTTTTATACCTCTTACAAAATTAAAGATCATTTGAGTTACAGAACTTGGCGGTTTTGTAAAGTGTAGTATTGCACGTTACCATAACCAGTTAAAAAGTAATGGCTGACGTTGTGACAGATCGGTATTTAATGTCCGAGTAAACTTCCAAATCTTATTTCCCTTTTCGCGTGTAGATATTCTTGACTGTGAAATAAAACGTCGTTGAAAAACAAACTGCTCAAAAGGTCTTTTGATGATCCAAGAGACTTTGTGTTTCGTGTACATTAAGGCAGTCGTAATGCAGTAAATAATTTAGCTGACAAACACAGGATTCGTCAAAACAACACGATCTCCTTCCATTTGATTCAGTTTCAATACTCCATATACATTGTACGTGAGGTTCAATGTTACATGTCATAGCAGTAGCGGAAATGTTTTTGGTACAAAACAGCACCAGGAATCAAAGTAAACCAAAACAGTCTCACGGGCACTGTGTCCGTTGTGAAGTCATCAAGACAGGCTCACCCCAAAATTATCAGCGCCAACACCATGAATGCAATAATTATAGCAGCCTCGAGGACGGCAGAAGATGGAGAATTTCCTCGCTTTTCTTTCAGTTTTCGTATCATATTTTCGGCCAGTTGAGCAGGATTAACAAACAGCCTGTTGCGAATCACGCTGTTGTATTAATAAAACAAACCACCCTATTTGCATTGAATATGAAACACCTTTTACAACTTGTCGCTTTTCAAATTCTTATGTATCATTGAGATTCCCATGGAAAGGTTTGCGCATGCGTTTCTTCTCCTTACGAGGAACCGAATAAACAACCTTATGGGTTATGGGCTCCTGTTCCTAGTCAATCTCTTCCCCCTAGTTCCCACTTATTTTCCCCCGCTTCCCCTAGTTCCCCCTAGTTTTTTCCTACTACCAGACAGTAAGTACAGAAAAATGGTGCCAAAGTAAATAAGCGTTTCAAAAACTGCTCTCAGTTTCAATATAAATAAAGTGACGGATGAAGGGAAGGGGGCTTGATCGGGCTATGATTGGTAGAAAGGATCGACTTCGTGTCTCACACATTTTTCAATCCCTGGTCTTTTCAAAACGACGTCGTCCTGCAATTTTCCTCTCGATAGCTAATTAAGGAATGAAAAATGTCTAGTTTTGTGACCCTCCATGGGTTATCGCTAGACAAACAACAGCATTTTTGCGAAGCCATGTGCGACCATGTGCTAGTTCATCTTTATATCTTACTTTTCGCAAAGTATGGTAAACATAAACTGACTCATAAATATACATCTTATTCACTCCAAGGAAGTTTTAACAAAAGCCACAGTTAGCAATAAAGAAAAAGTTCATGTCAAGGCGGCAAACTCAATTTACCCTCACCCCACCCCCGTTATACACAGTTGACTAGGGACGAGAGAGAATTTTAACAAGTTTTAAGTTTCTGTTGCGTGACTCAGTATAATTCCGTTCAAATAAAACTGATTTATTATATTTGTTTCTAGTCTTAAACGCAGTTGTTGTTTATATTCTGAACCCTATATTCCCCTCGAAGACATTAATCTAGGGAGGGGCCTGTGACGTCACTAACAATGGTCGCCATCTTGGTCGCCATCTTGGATTTTACCAAGAATTAGAAATTGCTGGTTTTCAGTGTCACGCCATTCAAAGTATATCAAAATAAAAATCAAAACCATTCGACAGATTAAGTCCAGAATCTGGACCCTCGCCAAGATTTTGGTCGAAGAAATAATTCGTATACGATATATCCAAGGAAATGTTTTACCCAAATTTATAGAGCTTTGTATGGAGACGCCATGCTGGAGCTCATCCATGGCGGACGGAAACCAACAGAAACATCTGTTACCGAGTTTTGCTACAAAAGCGTGAATTTACTCCTAGACGGAACTCATAAACATTAAAGTAATATTTTTTCTAATACTTGAACTGTTTAGATAGCAAAATTCCTCGAAAAAAGTCACTTTTTTAACCTAAATGACAGCTCTCTCGGCCGTCATGTAAATGCTGCGTCACGCAAAAGCGTAGAAATTCAAGCGTACTCTATTATAAAACCAAGAACCCTTTTGAAGCGAAAATTTGTTTGAAAATTAGTTTTCAGCTGCTCTAATACATCATGAAAGTAAAATCTCAGTAGATCGATAGTTTGTAGTTTGAATTTTAGTGACGTCATGTGAAAACCAACAATTAGGTTAAAACCGCGAGAAATGGTGATTTGTTTGTGCTTGCCATGAAAAATAACACATAAATAATCACTTTGCATTATGTCAGCCATAAGATTATTGTTGAAAAAAGTTGAAAAAACATGTACTTTCACTCAAAAATGGCTTGACCACCTCCTACTTATGACGTCACATCTCGTAACCATAGAAACTAACCGTCACTGAAATTGGCTCAAAATGCGCGCTGGGGATGAAAGAACAGCTACTGAAAACATCAGGTGCTGATGTTTTATCCTCTAGGAGAAAACTCAGAAAAACCTAAAGGGGGTTGGCATCCTCCCCCCTTTAGGTTTTATACTACCGTCTTATACGTCCGAGGGTTAAGGAAGAGAAATCACAATTGTTTCTTTAGCTTAATTGCTTATACTAAGTAACCGGTCCTTCTTCCAGCACCAGGCTTTTTTCTTTTTCAAAAAATGGTTTATGTCATTGGCTCTCATAATAAGCTACATGTAGAATAAGCGTCGAACTTATCATCTCACCCTTTAGACAAATATAACTCACCTTTATTGATCGTCATTAATGTTGCTTTCCTATGTGGTCACAAACATTATTAGAAATTAAAACGAAGGTTTTTCAAATTGCCACAGCATTGTTTATCACAAATTGCGACTGACAATTTTTGTTAATAAATTAGAACAAATTACAACAGATAAAAAAAATTACCGCGAAAGCATTACAAGTTCCACAGCTCACTGAGGAGCGCAGATTATAACAACCGCCATCCGGGCTTTCTTCGAATGCCAAATCTGAATTTTTTCAATAATCTATCAAAGCAGTTTATAATAGTTCCCTCTCACGTGTTCATGAATAAAGCTTGAATGGGGACCATCGATAAATATGTCCAATTAGGAACAACTCAGTAGTGTTATTCAGCTATTATTCTCTTTTATGGGACTTCGATGCTGATCGAAGGTGATTCTTGGTATCAAAGATATAAAAGCTAACAAATATCTGCCCTTACCATATTGTTAATAATGTCTAGAGGTGCAAACTTAAGGTGTGACGTCATAAATTATAAATGAGCGAGTTCAAAACATGTTTTGAACAATGGTATGCCAAACGTTTTAATATTTGTTCTACAAAAAATGCGAGAAAGTTTTTCTATATTATACTTTTCTTTTTTTCTTCCTTTTTCATTTTTGTGGAATACAAGATCGTTAACAGAATTCAATTGTTTCTGCTATTAAAGATCACGGAAAGAACGTGAAAAAATATGCAAAACCGTGCACATACCGTTGGCCAGTGATTTTACTCCACTTGACTCAGTGCAGCTTATATATAAAACCGAGCTAATATAGCTTAATATTGATATTATACAGACTTCCTTGTTTAAAAATATAACTGCCCAGAGGGGAAACGTACAAACTAAATGGTGTGTTTGCTATTTGATTTTGATTCCTCTATGCTGACTGGAAATAGCCGAATTCTAGCCAAATTAATAAAAATGCAAAATCAAGAGAATGTCGGCTTGAGATGAAACCTTTAAAGAGCATTGTCAACATTTGCACCGTCATGCCACAACCTTCTTTGATTAATGACAACTGAAACACTGACTCTAAAACGTGCTGAGCTAGTGTAATTGGTTCCGCAGCACAACTCAGTATTGTTTGTAAATGGTTAGTCATACGTTTAACACTTTGTTCAGTTTCCATCATTTATAATTCTACACTGTCATGTGTTTAGTAAGTCTGTGTCCCGAAGCGATGCTGTTAGGACTGTTTGGAGATAGTTAACAAGAGTTCAAAAGGCAAATAAGAAGGTAACATATGACAAAAGTTTCATTCATTAATATATTTTTAAAACTTCTGCATTTCGTAGAGAGGCTAAATTAGCGTTGATCGTCTTGAGTTCGCGCCTAAAAAGTAGAATCTTTACACGTGTTTATGAATGATCCTCAAGAGATCGGGATTATCAGAAAATTTTCGAATTGAAGACTTCAATGCTGATTGATATTTTTTTCAGTGACGTTGAATCTAGATATTGATTGAGCAAACGATTTTTTAAAACACTACAAATGAAAAAGCCCAATAATACCGGCTGTCCGTGTTTGCGAATGCTAGTTACGCTAGGGCATGCACTGAGGTTTCTGGACATGGATTATTTAAGATAATTTTTCAAACCAATTCGACTTTTATTTGTTGTAAATGTCTTGCTTTTAGCATTTCTTCCGTGCCTAACAAACATTCATTTTTAGCAACATTTAATGACAGTCGGTTAATATTGCTAGGAGATGTGACGTCACAAGTAACGCGAATTTAAACGGTTTTTCGAACCTGTTTTCAACTACAAACGCAGAATTAGAGTTGAAATTTAACTAACACTACGTTAACTTTGTGAAATCTAAGATCGCGACCGTTACGATTGTCTTCACCATCAGAAATCACTGAAAAGAAGTGAAAGTACTGACAACGTGTTCAAAAACCACAAACCACGGGCCATTGTTCTTACTCCACATAATATTGGGGCTTAAAATGGGCTAATAGATAACAATTATTCACCGAAGTGGAGGTGGCTAGTCCTGGATATTTACCGAACTGCGAAGCAGTGAGGTAAATATCCACGACTAGCCACCGACACTGAGGTGAATAATTGTTTTAGTATATACTAAAACAGTGAGATAATTGAGCACAAAAATGACGATTTTTAACTCAAATACTGTTGCCAACGATTACAATTTTGGCGCGTAATGACCGGGCGGCTGCGGCCGTCGCTTTTTCTTGCCGACAATTAAAACTTTTGAAGGCATTTGTTTAGCTCTTGCGGGGAAATTTCTTCAAAAGGAGTTGTGAATTCTTTTTGTATTTAAAATCATTCTGTAAAAAAAGATTATTAAATTTAGTTTTAAGCTTATTTATGAACAACTCAACTAAATAAAGTAAGCAAGACTTAAACTTAATTTGCATTCGTAAACAAAAACTTTTTCACCAGTTTTATCGATAAATTCGTGTCAAAAAGACAAAGCTTTTACCTGTTAAAACTTCCAATCCGAACTTCGTCACCTTCTTCGTGTATTTCGGAAACAGCTTGCTTGATTAGTTGTGAAATTTCTATGTTTGTTTACGGCAGCAAACCGGGAAGGCATTTTGCTCGCAACTTACGCGAGTTTGGCGTTGCTCGCTCAGAGGAACTGGAGGTGAATCAGTGAATAGTGCAGGATATTCACTGATTGAGTAGCCAATCAGAGCGCGCGAAAAACACTATCCACTGTTTTAGTATATACTAAATTGGCATATTCAGGCACTGAGTCCCAGTTCATACTTAGTAATTCTGTCGTCCCGAACTCACTAGTTGCAATTGGGTTTCAACAGTAGCACAAAAGAAGCATAAATCAATGATTAGTTTCTCTTATTAGTAATTCAATTTTTCCCTCTTTATCAGTTGCTTCTTTACGACTTTTCGGTTACAATTATTAGGTAATTAAATTATTCGTTTTACAATAATTAGGTGATTGGAATTCATCAATAGCTATTACAAATTGTTGTCCATTTATGGCGTCTATTATTTCATGTATTTTTTTTAGCCTCTCTTTGAGTGTTGACATCCCTCTGATACCTCCGCGCTTTCGTTATGATTTCAGGTGTATCACTTGTGACACAATCTAATTGATGTTAATGGTGGTGAATCGAGACAAATTACCATGTGTGACAGCATCGACCTATTGAAGGCAGCCATTGCCCATAAAGAGTTTTTAATGAGGGTAGACAAGTATCCGTGTTTGTATGGTGGCCCGCACGCTCAAAACGCACTCAGGAGGTATGAACGGAATGAAGTGATTGTTTAACAATGCATGAGACTGGTGGAAGCCAAGTGTCTATTTTGATCGTTTGTCTTAAAAAACCTATCGAAATTGACTTTTTTTATCTGTTGGGCCAATACGTGTATTTCGGTGCGACAATTACTTTTTTATATAATAATAATAAAAATAATAACAATTTATTCATTTATAGTGCGCTTTTTAACATGCTAGGTGATCAAAAGCGCATGCCAAGAGAGGAAGTTAGCATGTTCCAAGTAAAACCGTCCCATAACAGTCATGTTGTAAATTGCAAAATACCGTACCGCGTGTTTGACAGAGGGTGTCGGGCTACGAGCAGGTGGAGTGCTATACAGACCTCTCCTCGCAGGTCTCATATTCTTGTCTCATTCATGGGTTACTAATGTTAGTATGTGTAATCAATCGTGGATTTTTGACATATTTATCCTGAGTTTTATTGTATCGATCGAAAACTCAACGCACTAAAACGTTTAGAGCTTAAATTTGGCTGCAGTTTAGAATTTTCAGAACTTTTTGACAAATACCTGTTAGAGGCCTTCTCGTTGTGCTCTTTTTAATGCCCTGGCGACTTCATTCATAAAATTTTAAAGCTCCGTGCAAACGTACGCAGCAACTCCCAACATTGTTGGCCCAACAATTTTTGGAGGTTTTGTGTCGTCCGTTTGCACGGAGCTAAACGTTTGACCGATTTCAAACTTTGCGTAACAACTTTAAAAAACATGCAACAACATGCAACAGGGTGTGCAAACGGGCGCAACACGTAACATCCAACAATCTTGGGAGTTATTGGCCAACAATGTTGCGTCCGTTTGCAAGGTGGGCTTAAAACTTTGTCTTTATCTTGGCACTGGGACGTACGGAAGACTGCCATAATTTTGTAATTTCACATGTGAAATTATATTTAACGCTGAAAAAATTTCGCGCCAAAATTAAGGCGTAATACGTTAAGCATGATATTAAATAGGCCGTGCTTGCTTCACGATCATTCATGTTGATTTTTATCCTCATTATTTGACGTCATCAAGTAATGTTATGACAATTTCTGATGCAGGCCTTACAGTACCCTTTGACTTCTACTGTCATAGATTTTAAAATTTTCATAGTTCATGGAACTTGATGACGTCAAATGACGTAAGTAGTTTATCATGACCTGCATTGATTGCCGTCTGGGATAAGGCACCTTGGATTTGCCATAATAGGGCAAAATACACTAATAAAAAAACATGCTGAGCTAATGTTAACTTGTTTTAGAATAAAGAATCAAAGGGAAGGAAAGGGGAAAATATTTTGGTGTTTTTCTTATAACTTACACATACTACTGATACACTGAGTATTGTTGGTTTTCACATGACGTCACTAGAATTGAAATTACAAAACTATCGATCTACTGAGATTTTACTTTCATGATGTATTAGAGCAGCTGAAAACTAATGTTCATACAAATTTTCGCTTCAAAAGGGTTCTTGGTTTTGTGTTTGAGTACGCTTTAATTTCTAAGCTTTTGCGTGACGCGTCATTTATATGACGGCCGGGAGGGCTGTAACGTAGGTTACAAAAGTGACTTTTTTTGGGAAATTTTGCTATTTAAACAGTTTACTTATTAGAATAAGTATTACTTTAATGTTTATGAGTTCCTCGAGGGATAATTATAAATTCACGCCTTTGTAGCAAAACTCGGTAACAGATGTTTCTGTCGGTTTCCGTCCGCCATGTTAGAGCCCATCCAGGTGGGCACCAGCATGACGTCTCCATACAAATTCCTATAAATTTGGGTAAAACATTTCTTCCGATATCTCGTATACGAAATATTCCTCTGACCCGAACCTTGGCGAGGGTCTTTGTATATTTACCTCCTTTCATTTCCCAGATTCTGGACTTAAACTATCAAACGTTTTTTATTTTTATTTCGATCTATTTTGAATGGCATGACACTGATTTTTTACTTATCATTTATTTAATGTAGACATAGGCGGTGTTTATTTAATTGAATTTGTTCTTAGTTTTTAGCATGCGTAGTTCTTAGGTTTTAACTTCAATGAGTTTCTGGGTCAGGGGACTGGGTAACCACTCCCTATGTGTTTGACGTTAAATAATATTTCGTTAATTTCATTTCATTTCATTTGTTTTGTCATAAATTACATATAATACATTATTTTGGAATTATAGTCTGACAACATATCAATTGATGTTATACATATATTACTTTAATTAATGTTACAAATATTCAAAATGTCAATTAATGCCAAGGAAGCCTGTGGAAGCTGTTGGTTGATGAACTATAGCTTCCCAAGAATATTGTGGGAAAAACCTGTGAACTGAATTCAGGGTACTTGATAGAAAAAGATTTTTTTGAAGAGAAAGAAAATAAATTACCAGATCTTATCTTGTCTTACCTTCTCACACGGGTGTTTTTACTTTGGTGTTTAGATATGAATTATTCTGGCTTCCACTAGTTGCTCAGTCCCCAAATGTACCAGCTGCCGCTCCACTTGACATTGCTTGGGTTTGGCACGTGCACATGCTTTCACCCCTCAGCTATGAAAGGGATTGCAACGAAATTGTTTCTACGTTCGTGGACCATAAAGTTCTTGTAGGAATTAGGCAAATTTGGGCGCGTGAACACTGGAGGCGCTTGTGGAGCGAATTGTACGACAATGAGCCTTTTGATGTTGACCTGAGTGCCCCTGCCAGTAACGTGCCACATGTGTCAAGAATCCAATATGATATCGTAAGTGCATGCAGTCGACAAAGGGTCTTTAATTATCAGGTTTCCCTACCCCATTACGGTGACGAGAAGTTTTTAACGAAAGCTCTTGAACGATACAAACAGCACCTAAAGTTCGTGCAACAGCATCCCAATAAGTTCTTGGTACCATGTTTTGACTCTGATCTCATTTGGCATTCGCACCAAGCCCATCCGCTGGCCTACAGGACAGACACAATAAATCTTCTGGGAAAGGTCCTTAACCACGATGATTCAGCGAACGACCGACGGGCAGGCTCAAAACGTTCAACATCCGCACAAACAACAGAACAGCTGTGGTCAGCTGCTAACATGGAGTACGAGAGAAGAGGAACCATGTTTCGAGGTGAACCTCCATTAAGTATTGGAGAGAACGATAAGCCCGTCGATTATTCTTCGATGCGGGTGAATGAATACACCGTAGATGTTATCAAGATAGAGATTGGAATTTCCGCATCCAAGTGCTACAAAGTGAAAATTGATGTAAAAGAAAATATCGATGGAAATGCCATCAAGAAGAGATTTAAAGGACCCGCCACTGAGATTTATAAGCCCTCTGGGGTTCCTCTATCAAAGTTCGTCTTCAGAACAGAAACCAACAACTTTTTTCAGGTAAGATAGTTTCCTAGAATAACACAGACGTTCAGTGTTCATTTTCAGTGAGTTTTCAAGATTTTTGCTGCTTCATCTTCTAAACACATTTTCATCTTTTAATAAAGCCGTCCGCCACTTTAGCTTTTAATTCAAGTTCACTTTTTATAGCTATAGTATGTAGACGTTAGTATTTATATGGCAAACTAGTTTAGTTTTTCTTTTTACTTTTAATTACCTTTTCTTCTCTCTGCTTATAAGCATGTATCTTGCTAGAGGTTTAGTCAAGTTCATCAGCCCGAGAAACTATTACTACTACTACGACCATTACCACCATCACCATCACCGCCAAGATCATCATTACCACCATTACCAGCACCATCATCAACACCACTACCATCACAATCACCACCTCTTACCCGCTTGAAAGACTATCACTGCTACTCACTATCACTACTAACACCACCACCATCAACACCAACACCGCCACCACCACCACCACTACCACCACCACCACCACCACCACTACCACCATCATCAACACCACTACGATTTCAACCACCATCACATGTAGCACTACTACAAGTACATCATGTTCCCTAAAAGCTGCATTCCTCATAACCAATCACAACCGAAAAAGTTTAGTTGTGTATTATTAGAAAGATTATGATGGTGCATTTCTTCCTGGATGTTTGATTGTTTTATTTACGTTAGTATGTAAAGTTGACACTTCAAGGGAAACAGTAACCTTCGAGACCGCGCTGACCTGGACACTAGTTCTACAACTTTTCATCCTATGATATAGTTTTATATTATTTGGTTAAAGAAGTGTGAATCGCGTATCTTGTAATATGCAAATCGCCTAAAAATGGCACCTAATGTGCTAAGCATCAGCTGACTGCGTCCTTTTAGGGAAAGTTGCCATCTAACATATCGCTAATTGGTGATATATTTTTTGATGGATTACTGATAAATTTGGACAAATTGAACTTCTATTTTAATCTAATCTCATCGATCTTCGAATAACTCAGAAATTTGCACTTTATTTACGGCAGATTGAAATTTCCCAGAAATGTCCATCTTGTCAATGCCTTCAGGGGAAGAATGCGGAAGGCTTACGTTTCCCTTTCCCATTGGAAATGTTCATGCAGAGACGCCTGGAAGCTCCACAGACAGTAACACACAGGGAAGATTTCTCACGTGATATCTTTGTTAAAATTACTGCCGTTGCCCATCCGCCGTTACCTAAGGGATATTGGTTCAATGTGAAACCGAAAGAAGCATTCCGCCACGTGAGTGACGCTGCAACCATTTTAAGCACCCCTATGTTATCTATCTTCCAGTCCTTATCTGTTTCGCCCTCGGAAAACTGCGAAATGGCACTGCAGGAGGTTTTTGACAGCCATGATCGCCTGGCTTTTTCGTGTCGAGTAATGCACTGGGGGATAAGACGAGGATTTCATCCCATGGCATGTGTAGAGGTCATCAACAATGCTGGAGATGTTGTTAGTACAGCACATCTTCTCCAAGGGAATACTCTTCCAAGTAGGGAGCAAGTCAGTGACCGGAAAGGATGTTGTACCCTAGATGGAAACGAAAGAGCGATGTTAATAAGAGGAAATAAAGATTGGGGGGTCTGTATCGGCACATGGAAGGAAAATTATGACGGGAACAAATTGCACCTTAAGCTTTTTTCTCTTACTGAGACACAGGGATGGAAATCTGTTTATTCTCACTCGAACGAGACATTTTTGGTAGTGCTAAGCAAGAAAATAAGCTTAAATGTGGACCTTAGAGAAGGTACGATTAAAATTCGTCCAGATGTTGCTCACGTACCAGAGTCAATTGCACTTGGGTTTGCGATTGCTATTCTTTACCTCCTTTGTCAGCCCATTCCAGTCAGAACATTAGAGGATGACCCAAATTGTCGTTGTCCAGAAAACCTTAACAGATTACGCAATAAAAAGTTGAAGTTTGCTGAGGCAGTCGGTTACAGCGCCGACATGTTTAGACCGTACATTAGAAGCGGGACATGTCAAAGATGCAGGCAATCCAGGGTTGAACCCAAAAGGTTTCATTCTAGAAGTGTTTCTTATTCCAGCAGTTCTTGGCATTTTAGTAGTGGTGGAGGGAGACGCGGTGGATTCGGCGGTGGTGGATGTGGTGGCGGGGGTGGTGGAGGTTGCTAAAACGATCACGAAATTGGTGAAAAGCATGGTAACGATCATGATGTTCACTGACGTTTTATTGCAATGATAATGATCAGATGTCGAAGGTATTAATGATAGCGATAATGCAACCTCATTGGGATCATTGCAGGAACTTAAATCGATATCACAAACAAGACTCGAAACTTAGGAGATATAATGGACAAAAAGTTAACATTTACAGTCGATGCTCTCCTTGCGACCACTCTCGTAAGCAACCTCTCAGGGTCTTATTCATATAAATCAACACTTCAAAGAAACTGCACGTTGCGCTAAAGGTCGGTTGCGATTATTTTGGTCTAAAAAACTGGGCGTAAAGTTTAGCCGTATCTATATCAGGTATAAAGACACTCATTAAACATAAACTCCTCTTGTTTTTCTTTTTATGAATTATTAACGAGTTTCTTAAACTCTCGTAAGCGACTTATAAGGGTAACAGCACCATCGATGAGACCAAAGCTACTCTTACAAGACCAATTGGCCGCATTTGAAAGTATCCCTCCTGTGATGTACTAAAAAGTCTGGTAAAGACTCTTGTAACAAGAACGCTCTTATCGCTTGCTTGAAGATTAAATTAGAAATGAGGAGGTGATTAATTTTATACGAAACAGGATTTCCTCTCCAAAAGTTTTTCATTTCCTACTTTATCGGCAGTCGAGTATTCTTCAGGATATTTACTTTTTATATCGTATTCGACGATGATTGATAACACATGTATAAATTCACGAAAATCAATTCGAGAGAAGTTACCTCATTGTCAGAAAGCAAAACGTGATAAACATGGCGCGCCATTTCAATCATCGCTGAAAACAAACCGCATGCTCATCACAAGACTTATTTGCATACAATGAAAGTTTAACACCCGACCAGTTTATAGCCTCACCATCGAAGTTTCCACTGAAGTATTCAGTTGTTCCAAAGTAACCAGCGCTTTCAAGCAAAAGAATTAGTGTACCGATCCGTTATGGAAAAGCTCGACATCTTTCGCATCAATTATTCTTAAGCCTTCTTCATAAAGTAAAGCATGGCGCTGTGACACTTCGCGGTTCTTATTCCTATTTTCCACGGTCTCCGCTAGGAACGCTTGGGACCATGAGTCCTTTTTGGCACGCACATGAGAAAAAAAAGAAAAAGGAAGAAAAAAGAAACGCTTGCCTTTTTAGAGTCTCGCAGCTAAAGCAAGCGAGACTAAACATTTTTCGCAGGTACAATGAGACAAGGTTTAACGATTCCGAAATTCTGCAGCAATTTTTGTAATGGAATCGAAGCGAGGAATGTTGGGACATGCAGTGCATCGTGGGAAGGATACAACCCATAAGACTTTGCAGACCATGTGTGATGCATTTGCGTGGCCCCAAAAATGCTGGAAGAGCAGTGCAAACGGATCCAGCATTGTTGCGCTACGCTTCGGTGACAAGCAACAATGTGCAACAGGGCATGTAAAAGGAGGCAAAATGTAACAACCAACAATGTCAAGAGTTGTGGGCCAACAACGTTGTGTCCGTTTGCACTGGGCTTAAGATTGAATTTTAAATTAATGTAAAGCGCACTGGGTTTAAGATAACTACATACCACGTAAAAGTAACATAATGGTAGGATATTACGATTATTGTTAATGTTCTATTATTTTTATATTACAGTTAAGGGAATTGTTGTTGCTTACCCTCTTGGACTTGGTTTGTTTCTTCCTTTGAAGAGGGGGCCAAACTTAGGTCTTTGGACAACAAAGAGATGTTCTACCTCATTAGGGCCATTTATACGACGAAAAATAAGACGCGTCTTACATAAGGCGCGTCTTAAATAAGAAGCGAACTTTCCGTATAAAACGGCACATTTCGTCTAAAATATGACGCGACTTAGCTAAGACGCGTCTTATTTTAGAACAGCCCTTAATACCTCTTCTTAGATAAGACGCGTCCTTTTAGTTAAGACTAGAAAAACTTCGTATAAATGACCTTCGCTTGACGCGAACGCATGGTACGCATGCGTTAATTTTTGGCGCGGCATATTGGATTGCCGTTGCCATGGGGAACATTTACATGAAAACGAGTCGAGAACAGAAATAAGATGCGAACCATTTATACGAACTGTTCTCGTCTTAGATAAGACATGCTCGTATAGATGGTACAGTTCGCGTCTTATTTAAGACGAGCCTTATGTAAGACGCGTCTTACTGTTCCTCGTATAAATGGCCCCAATGTTTGATTAATCTAGTACTTTCCGTAAGATGTCAGGGTATCTCTGCAAGATCCAAGTTGTTCAAAGGGTGGATAGCCTTATTCACATTCTGAACAAATGAGACCAGATAGTTTGGCTACAATAATAGGGAATGAACATTGCATTATCTATGTTGTTCTTGACAACCACGTTTGGCCAGTTGGCTGTTTTAGAAAAATGGTCATACGATTTCATTTCATTCATTCATCATCATCCTCGTCATCGTCATTTTAGACGATGATGATGATGTTGATGATGATGATGATGATGGTAACTGTGGCAATGGTGATCAAAGAGATGATGCTGGTAAGGACAACCAGGAGAGAACAGGCAACGACTTTGGAAATGTGTGCTTTTCTTTGGAGGGGGTGAGGGGGATGGTCAGTCTATTCTTAGTTAGTCTATTCTGTATCATACCACCTGGGACTAAATTCACGTTTCATTTAGCTTTTATCCATAGAAACGTCAACGCTACTCTTTACATTAGGATGGCGTTAAAATAAATTGTATACATTTATCAGTTATCCCTTGTGTCCCTAAAGGATACTCCTGGGAATTCTTGCTGGGGGTGTGTGCCGCCTGGTTCTTCAAATCCTGACCCTATTTCGGACCAAAAAGTGTGCATGTTATTTTCCTCACAACTTTTCAGACCTGACCTCTAAAATCCATACCCGTTTTTAGGCCAAAAAGGCCCAAAAACCGCACCCTTTGGGGCGGCACATACCTACATGGCTTATATGAGGGAGTACCCCCCCGGCTTATGCATTTCCTCGTATCCGAGACAACTAGCCTCAGTAAGGAGGTAAATGTATTTTACAAGTACAACGGTCAAGTCTGTGGGACACTCCATGGTTGTTTACCATTTACATGGCTAGACTGGTCGGTTCACGGTTCGGGCTAATGGTATGCAAAAATTTAAGACTGGAATGACTTGTTCCATTTACCAAAACACGGCGGTTATCAAACTGGTATCAAAAGATGACCTTGAAGAAATAAAACACGAATATCTAATTAGAACATTTTGTCCGGAAAAATTGGACTACCTTTTGAGATGTTCCGTTGTTCCCAGAAATTTCCGCTGAAACGAGGCAATAAGTCGTGTCCCATTTACTTTTCAGCCGAGTTTTCCGGACTTTTTTGGTAATGGTAAAAAACCAAAAATGCTCTCTGCACATGTGTTTAGTTGCTTTTTGGCCAGCATCCTTTTCGCACCGACATATGGTTTGAAGGGGGCGTTTTCAATTTCAGTCTTCCCATGCGTAATTAGCGACATTTACCTATTTTACTAGCCTATCATGATTTTCTGTTTGCTATATGTTCAAATCTCGCATGTGTATAGATCTGTATTCATTTCTAGCCCCGGTTCAGGGTTGGCGATACTTAAGGCAATAGGCTCTTTGCATGACTTGATCACGTGACCAACTGTCGTTACACACGAAAACAGTTCACTTTTGAAAAATTTAGTTAGGACAAGCTGAAAGAGCGTATTAAAATTAGGTAGCCTGAGAATTTTCAGCCGTATATCTCAAAAAGCAGCGATTGTAACGGCCGCCGAAAGTTAGAAGAGAGTTTGAGAAAAACAACTTTTGCCACCCAGTCACGTTTGCATGGTTTTCCATACAAATCCTTGAAAATTCTAAAATTTTTAAACTGTCGTTGAATCTTTCCTTTACGCATTTAAGGGCTCAAATTGCCTTTATGAATTAAAAGGAGATTTAAGGCCTGTAATGCTAAAGGAAGTATTTCATGACAGTTTTGAAAATTTCGAAATTACAAGGAT